TGATACTGTTGGCACAAAAGGCAAGATTGTGTGGAAACTGGTCCCTCCTTTGTTAAGTCAGGGTTACCACCTATGGTTTGATAATTATTTATACCAGTACTGACTTATTTAAAATGTATTTTGTTTTGAAACCCTAGCATTTGACACATTGCATAAAACACTCAGAGGTTTCCCCCAAACTCTGACAAGTGGTTTTACAATGGATGTTGAAAGTACAGTGCCAGTATCTCTCAGAGAAAGAACTAAGCAGCTGTAAAAAACAAAGTGCATTGTAGACTCGACTGATCAATGTATACATTGGTTGATTACTGGTTGCAATATTCAATTCCTCTGTGGTGTACAAAAAAGCAGATATAGTTAAAGGAGCACTACAGGGTAGGAACACAAACATGTGTTCCTGACATGATAGTGTTAAAAACACTATCTAGCCCCATTGACCCCCTAAATATAGTAAAACATTACATTTATTCCAGTCATCTGCTGGCTCTGGCCCATCTGCCTCCTTGGTTGACATCTACAGAAATGGTGATCTCAGCCAATCACAATGCTTTGGATTGGCTGAGATTGTCAAGAAGGCAAATCAGGGGCAGAGCCAGCACAAGCCAAACACAGCCCTGGCCAGTCAGCATCTCCTAATAGAGATGCATTGAATCAATCATGCAGAGGGTGGAGACACTGAATGTCAGTGCTGCACAATTTGCAAAACTGCCACCGGAAGCACCTCTAGTAGTCATCTGAGGTATGACCAGTGGAGTTATCACTAGGCTGTAATGTAAACACTACATTTTCTCAGAAAATACAGTGTTCACTGCAAAAAGCCTGGAGGGAATATTTATACTCACGAGAACAAATACAATAAGCTTTAGTTGTTCTAGTGACAGTTGTGTCCCTTTAAGCCATACCGATTTTTTGATTTGATGTTGAAACTTTTAACTGATATTTTATTTACCCAGTCCCCCAATCCTCCCTCTTTGGAATCAGAAAATGTCCACAGACATTGCGGCAAACACTTTCCTTCTTGACTCCTACAACAATTTGTAAAAAGTCTCTTTAGAGAAAGTGTTGTGTTTGCTATAAGAAAGGATAAAAATTTAATTCCAGTGCACTCCCTTATCTACTAAACAACAACTTTGGTGCTGACAGATTTTTTTAGTTTAAAAAAACCCACCTAATCTAGGCAAGAAATAATGGGGGATTAGTTACATGATATGATCATACATTGCAAAAGCCTGCCACAATGTCAATGTACCCCATCGCGGCAGGTCCTACTCTAACAGCCAAATGTCTGCTAAATGAGCTACTTACTTGGGGGAAAAATTCCATCTAGAGTTCTCTGCAGTACAAGACTAAAGTACAGTACAAGACTAAAGACTAAAGACTAAATAGGGCCCTGGGATAAGGCATCTGTGACAGGGAGGGGTGGACAACCAAGGAGTTGGCTAGACTCATATATATATATATGAAAAAACAAGGGGCTGGCTGCACTCACCTAAACATGCATAAATAGGGTGCTGCTATAAGAAAGGAGTCCAAAAGAGCTCCTGTAATTACTGCCCTTTGTGCCCCCATCTACCTACCCTCTGCATAACAGAATGTTGAGTGCCTCTCATGCGCCAACAGTCCACAAGTTTACTCTACGAGGAGCAGTGGATTGAATGGGTATCCTGGAGATGTCACTCGAGGCAGCAGTGCTGAAGGAGACTCAGCGTTCGAGAAAAGGTAATTTAAAAAAAATCAAAACAAACATATATAATCGAGGTTTCAGTTTACATATTAAACTTTCATCCTGATGAAAGCAAAAAGCAAAATAAATGCTACGTTTTACATTTACATTAAAAAAGTCCTTGGCTTGCTATAATTTAAGGTTATTTTTTTTTATTATTATTTTTATCTATTTATCTGTGCTATGTCAATCTGTCTGTCTTCCTATATGTCTCTCTAATCTGTCTGTCTAATCTCTCTGTCTGTTTAATCTGTCTGTCTGTCTGTCTATCTATGTATCTACACAGAGGAGGGCCCTGAAATTAAACAGGGACAGGGATAATATAGCGTTAGGAATACAGATTTGTATACAGATTTTCAAAAGTGTTTCTTAAAAGCATTGCACGCATACAGTCATAAATGATAGAGTGAAATGGGCTTGAGAATATAAAAAAAAAAAAAAAAAACATTTTCAGAGTATAATTAAAAAAACAGGGCTATCTGACTCTATTACGCTTTCTAATATCCCTACTGTGTTAAGACATTATTCTATTGACAAAATGCCACGGATAAAAATAAGCAAAAAAGAAAGCTAGAATTTGTGATGTTTCTGCATGACAGGCCTGCAAAGACAGGACCTGATCAGCGAAGAGAAGCAATAAAGTTCTCAGATAATGAAGTGTTGAAACTGAAATCATGTTAGCCAGAACTGACAGATACATTTTATGTCTACGAAGAATGTTTCCCTGTTCTCATATAAAGAAAAAAATGCATTTTCATAGGAGCCATTTTCACTTTGAACCCTTTTCAAACATAAAACGTAGAAGGAACAGAAATCTGGAGTTATTAAGATAGTTTGCCAGTATATTACCAAGGTGTTCAGATAAATATGTAACCAGCTCTAAAACTTTTTTTCTGAATTATTTTTATTTTATTTTTAATTTCTCACTTTAAAGTAGTGTTCCCACAAGGATACTTTAAAATATAATCTGCTTTCAGTTAGTTTAGGTAGTCTGAGTGATTAGTATTTTATATTATATAATATATAGCATGCCTAGAATATTTTCTCACTTCAGTAACACATTGTTTTATAAAATAATATTGAAATGCTTTGTTTTCTAAATCAGGAATGGGAATTAACTAGAAAAACATGTAGCCTATATTTAAAAGAAATGGCATCAAATACATAGGTGGTTGGTGGCAAGGGGCTTGCAATTGCCTGGAAAGAAAGAGTCCTAAAAATACCTTTACCGGTCAAAGACTGTACTGAGATAATCTTAATTATCTATGAAATATATGCTTCGCAATACTGAAGGACCCTCGCTATAATATTTTTCTGTATTGCTGAATAAATAATCTAGAATGTCATTAAAATAAGACTCAATAATAATAATTTGTCATCCTTCAATAAGAGAGTATAGATAGAAGAATTGTGGAGAATTTAAAGATTTGATCAATTATATCACCTATTGGCGATAATTGGTAATGATGGAAAAATAAGCAAATTGTAAAAAAATCCATTAAAATAGTACTGCCCAGATGGCTAAGCCAATCAGTACTTATCAATAATCGACTAGAGCATAATATTGTAATGATTCACAACTATATCGCATAATTAAATGTTGGCCTGGGTAGGTTCTTTCATAACCCAACATAAGTGTGAATAAATAGTGTTGGACTGCAATCTTGAATACTAATAGGTGCAGCTAACACTGAACTCTTGAATACAAATAGGTGCAGCTAAAACACTCTTTCCATGGTCGTAGTACCTGCTGCATGGCATAGGTGCATCTAACAATGCGCTCACACAGTTTCTTGGTGTCCCTGGATGTGGGATACCAAATTAAAAATTAGGTTTAGGGTCAGAATTATTTGCTAGGGTTAGCTAGAGCCATTCTACTAAAGAATGAACTGTCAGTGCTAGAGCAAGGTTTAGTTAGGTTTGGAGTTACTTAAGGTTAGAGAGGATAAGGGTTAAGTCAAGGTTAGCAGTAATGTCAAAGTTTGATGCTGGTCACTATGGTTGCATAGATAGTGTCACTTTTATTATTATTATCACCATTCATTAAGTGCCAATTTAGTCTGCAGCGCTTTACAATGTTATAAAGGTGGAAATTTCACAATAAATGAGACAATATCAACATTTTAAAGGAACAATATGTATATATAGGTGATACTCGAAAAATTTGAATATCGTGCAAGAGTTCATTTATTTCAGTAATGCAACGTAAAAGGGGAAACTGATATATGAGATAGACACATTACATGCAAAGCAAGATAGTTCAAGCCGTGATTTGTCATAAGTGCGATGATTATGGCTTTCAGCTCATGAAAACCCCAAATCCACAATCTCAGTAAATTAGAATATTGTGAAAAGGTGCAATATTCTAGGCTCACAGTGTCCCACTCTAATCAGCTAAGTAAGCCATAACACCTGCAAAGGGTTTCTGAGCATTTAAATGGTCTCTCAGGCTGGTTCAGTAGGAATCACAATCATGGGGAAGACTGCTGACCTGACAGTTGTGCAGAAAACCAATCATTGACAACCTCCATAAGGAGGGAAAGCTTCAAAAGGTAATTGCGAGGGAAGTTGGAAGTTCCCAAAGTGCTGTATCAAAGCACATTAATAGAAAGTTATGTGGAAGGGAAAAGTGTGGAAGAAAAAGGTGCACAAGCAGCAAGGATGACCGCAGCCTGCAGAGGATTGTCAGGAAAAGACCATTTAAAAGTGTTGGGGACTTTCACAAGGAGTGGACTGAGGCTGGAGTCAGTGCATCAAGTGCCACCACACACAGACAGATCCTGGACATGGGCTTCAGATGTCGTATTCCTCTTGTCAAGCCGCTCCTGAACAACAAACAATGTCAGAAGCGTCTTACCTGGGCTAAAGAAAAACAGACCTGGTCTGTTGCTCAGTGGTCCCAAGTCCTCTTTTCTGATGAGAGCAAACCAAGGACC